TTTACAACAGAACAGCACAACCCAGATGTTCGAATTTGTGCAACTCATTTTATGGAGGACAGTTTTTTAAACCTAGAAGAGTACAAGGATGGCTGTGCACAAAAGCTATTTAAAAAAAAAAGGGCTTTGTTGAAAATGAGTGTTTGAGAGAGGCGGGGCATAGAGGACCTACAATAATGTACAGTATTTGAAAAATGTGTTTTTTGAACATTAAAGCATGTCAGTATATTGTTACACCAAATACACAAAATAATGATCTTTAAAATAGCATCATATGACCCCTTTAATACTTTCATTACACTTTTAGTAAGGATCCATTAAAGTGTGCAAAAGTGACAGTAAATACATTTATTTGAAAGTAAAAAATAGCATTTATTTGAAACAGAAATCTGTTGTAACATTATAAATGTTTTTATTTTTGTATTTTTGATCAAAAAATAAAATAAAATGTAAAACCTTACCCCAAACGTTTGAACGATAGTGTATAGTATGTATGACCCAAATGATAGTTTGTTAAGAAATGGTATGGCAACATTTTGTGTATTTTTTATGGTGTTATTAACCACCACCTTACTATTGTACTGCAAAAATATTTTTTTTTATGGTACTGTGTTTTTCTTTTAGATGGAGGAGTTGAGAGCTCATGCAACAGACTGGACTCAGAACATCCAGAACATGTCCATGGACTTCCGTATTCCTGTGCCACTGGATCTCAATGACCCCTTTCAGCTCCAGCGGCGACGTAGACGGAAGCGTCACCGCCATCATCGCCACCCAAGTCTGAGCGCGGCGGGATTTGCTCATGGGATCTCCCTTGATGCCGATGTTGTCCGAGAGAATGGACACCTGATTCTCGGATGGCCTGCATGCAAGTACACCCCAGGGTCTGATATCAGGTCTGAAGCGCTGTCCCGATCCAGGTCGTGGTGTAGGTTAGATGGGGCGTATGAGGTGAGACCAGCATCAAGATCTGTCTCAAGGTTAGAGCTGAAACCACCATCAAGACCCGGGTCCAGAGCCATTTCCAGGTCCCCTTCAGAATCTGGAACAGGATCAGTCTCTGGATCCGAGACCCCGTCGGAATCCTGGTCTGAATATGAATATGATTCAAATTCCCGTAACTCAGAAGACCTGGAATCTGGAGCTGAAGGGACTCTCAGATCACTGGGAAGTCAGAAGGATGTTCCTGTCGTCGTGGTTGATAGCTGCAGTCCACCTCATCCCTCCCTTCTGGACTTCTTTGGCGAGAACCTGGCGTACATTGATGAGTCCTCAGACACTCTTAGTGATCGGATCAAACCGGCTGGACAGAACCGCCAACGCAAAGCCAAGAGGAGGAGCATGACGAGACAATATCCTATCGGACTGCAGAGGGAGATCAGTAGTGAACTACAACCTCCATCACACCCTCCAACACCTCCACCTCCAACCTGACAATTAAGCATTTGACCAAGGGCTGTTAGCGTTCAGCATCTCAGTTTGAAGATGCCAAACATGACTGATGTAGACCATCACAAATATGCATGTAAATATAGCTTAAATGAAAAACAATTTATTGCCTCCCAGGCAAACATAAAGTGGCTTTGTTCAGAATAGCATACTAACATTTGTGCAGTATGTACGTGTCAAAAGTTTAGGATAAGACTTTTTAATTATTATTTTTTTTAATGTCCAAGGCTGCGTTTATTTGATCAAAAATACAGTAAAACAGTAATATTGTGAAATGTTTTTTTTAACACAGTTCAGAATAACTGTTTTCTATTGTAATGTATTCGAAAATGTAATTTATTCCTGTGATGCAAAGCTGAATTTTCAGCATCATTACTCCAGTCTTCAGTGGCATGTGATCTCTCAGAAATCATTCTAATATGCTGATTTGCAGCTCAAGAAACAGTTACTATTATTAATTTTAAAAACAGTTGTGCTGCTTGTGGAAACAATGATACAGTGATTTTTTTTTTCAAAGTAACCGCATTTATTTGAAACAAATGTTTGGAACATTATTCTGTAAATGCTGTCACTTTAAATCAATTGAATGCATCTTTGCTGAATACAAATATGAATTTCTTCTTCTTAAAAAATAAAATCCTGACCCCAAACTTTTAAACAGTAGTGCATAAGGTCTAATGCCCAGAAGGCCTACAACATTTGCTGACATGTGCAATATACAATAGAGCACACTGTAGCGCTGCAGCCTATCCCACAATTACATTTTCCAATTTGAGGACATTTCAGCATTGTGATTATTCAGCAAATCAGATGTTTGTTTTAATGTTTCATTTGTCACTGCCACCATTTGTCATATTGTAGTCATAATATTTAATATTATGAATTCACTGTAAATTGTATGATGTCAGTGTAATATGTTAGTGTTTTGAACTGTAACCACAAAAATGTCAATGGTAAATGCTGTTATGTTTTAGGAGTGATATTTTATTTGTAGTGTCTTGAATTGCTTAATATTCCCCTAGTAGTTTTTTAGTATTATAGTTATATGATTTAGTTATACAAAAAATACAGTCGATATTTTGCATGATATACTTTGAGGAAATAGGAGACAATTTGTTGTAAGATGCACATTATTTATTGAAATGTCATTTTGTGTGCCAAATTGGTTATAATTTTGTCATGAAAACAATGTTTTGGTTGTTGATGTTTCATTTGTTTTTTGTACATCACAGCTGATTTCAGACAAAGGAGATCTAAAATACCTATAGAAAATAGCAAGCTTATTATTATTATTACATGTCTACTTTGGAACTTCCATCCATGGAAATGTGTTTTTGGTTGGATGATGTAGTTTCAGAATCTTCCAGTAGGAGCTAACCCGCTCCATTTCAAGGTTCAACTGGTTAACTCGAACCCATTTGTAAGCGCCCTCTTGTGGTGATCAGAACTGGGCAAATCTCAAAGTTTTCTCAAGTTGTATTCCATTATTTAAAAAAAAAATGCTTAGAGCATAAATCAGTCGGATGTTTGTACAAATGTTATATTTGCCCTGCAGCTTGTGGCTTACACACACACACACACACACAGACCTGCTCTGAACACACTGCTCACTTTCCAGAGCCGACATCTATACATCTACCCAAACACATTTTACAGCATGTACACAAACAATGTTTACAGAGAAGCAATTTCGATGTTGAATTTGCACAGCAGGAGCTAGATGAGCATTTAAATGCCCTTGGTGTGGGAAGACGAGGTGAATGAGAGAAGAAGCGAGTATGTCCCAGCCTGAGACAGATTCAGGAATGGCTTTTGTAAGGCTCTGGCTGTGGGGATAAATGCCGGTTGCAGAGTGAAGGGGGTATTTAGAGGGAAGAGGACAAACACATGGTGGTGGTTTACAGAGGAGCTTTTCCGCAGGGCTTCCAAAGCACCCTTAAATTCTACCTCTACACGTCAGCCCCACCTAACACAAGTTCTACACTCAGAACACCGAAGTCTCGAACCAGAGGCTGTTCTTCGTAACCTGTGCGTGACTGTAATCGATTTCTGAGTGGAAATGCTTCAGAAGCGGCCGGTGACACACCTGGACTTGGATGTTTTTGTCTTGGAAAACATGACAAGCAGTTTAGTGTTAACGAAAAAAATGTTCAACTATATAATTATGTTTAAAAAAACGTTTATGAATAAAAGCTGTGTTCCATAATCTTGTACAGAGTAAGGTAATCATGGAATGAATGAATCGCCGGTTTAGGAACTTCAATAAAACCTGTCAAAACTCTGAAAGAGTTCAAACCAGGGTGGAAAAATGATTTGATTTTGAACAACAAACATTAATATCCGTTTAAAGAGATATACACAGCAGAACTGAATGCTGACAGTTCACTCCAGGCAGTAAAAGCCATCTATCAAGCCAGAAACAGAAACACAAATCATTTAATCTGCATAGATGAGTATGGCATATTTCCTCATAGCATGGTACCATCAAACAACATATAACCACTGAAGCAGGGGTTTTCAACACTTGGATTTGAGGTTCACTTTCCTGCAGAGTTTCGCTCCAACCCTGATCAAACACACCTGAACAAGCTTTGATGAAGGTTGGAGTGAAACTCTGCAGGAAAGTGAACCTCGAGTGCAAGTGTTGAGAACCCCTGCTTAAGCAAAGGTACAATATTAAATTCAGATTATCTCGTAGACATAACTGTCCAGAAAAGTCTTCTAGTACATTTACTCTATAATTTCCACTTGCTTTTAGCACTGTTGAACCAGATATACTGTTCAGATATTTTGGCAGAGAAAATTCTAAGTAACTGCATAATTGCGTTCTCAAATATCTTTTTTGTCTTGGGAGTTGATGATGTAGAAACAGGATGCAAGACAAGTAACCCCAACACATCCAACACTTTACATCTCATCAGCTTCACTGCATGAACATAACATCAGGTCATATATTCCATGGCTGTTTTTCTGATTTGATCATTTCCATTTGTGTGGTTGGAGATTTTGCATTCTGAATTGAAAGAATACACAAACCTTGGCAATGAGGTGGAGTGCTGGTTTGTATGTAGGAGAACATTAGAATGATTTGCTTTACTGTTTTTGACACCGCAAAAGGGGAAATGAAAGTTTATGCTTTTAAACAGCAAGTGAGACCACAAAATTTGTACTTCTGAAGCATCAATATCACTGTTGTTGATTAGCAAAAAAAAACACATTTATATAGACAGAGGCTAGAAAAGTCAAAACAAATTAAATTTCCACCATCAACAGTAATGAGTCAAAAACAAAATCTAACTATGAAGTTGTTTAAGAGGACATCAAGTCATTTCTTAACCACTTAATTGGTGTGTCCATGCTACGGTTTACATTTAAAAACCTGATTCACTTTTGGCCGGAGAGCTCATCCACAGATTAGCTTCTGGGCATTATGGGTCGAAAATTTCAATAACACCAACCTTTGTTTATGTCGTGAGATGTCAGGAACCCAGTAGTCTTACAAAATACACCCTAAATGACATAATGCTTTAATTCAAATCAGTTATAGCTTTTTCTAAATGCTTTCTCTGTTCTTCTCTTTCTAGTTTTTTCTCATTGGCAAATACAGTAATCTTTGTCACATTCCACAAGGGTTCTATAACATTTCTCAAAGCATGAGATGGTGAAAACTACAGTATATGTTTGATAAACTATTATATAACATAAAATTAACCTAGCATAAGTTTGCAATAGGTTGGCATCCTGAGGTGACTAAAATAAAACGAACTTAAAGAGTTTCAGGTTCTATATTGTGGCATTATCTATAGCTTTACATTAGCTTTATATATCATGTAGGTGTGAAGCAACATTCACCGTCTCCTCTAGACTCTATAAATATATAAACTATGAATAAGTGCTTTTTCTATTCATGTATGCATTCAGAAGCCATATTGTAAGTGCTGAAGTGGATGTTTATTAAGGTCTGTTGTACGAGTACTCACACACTCTGCTATGGCCAAGAATCTTCCTGTTTATAGCCATGAGCTGCCAGAATATCTGTCTGTCTCTCCATCCAGACTCTGCTTCAGACAAAGACAAACAAAGACTCAATCAGTAATGCCAAAGAGATCATTTGAAAAATTATTGTTAGTGATTAGAGTTTATAAATATTTATTACCTTTTCAAAATCTGTGACTGTCCCGGATTCTGGAAGAAGATAAGTGGTCATGGTGCCCCATAAAAGTCTAGAGTTTAGAACATCACATCTAGGATCCTGGCTTCCTTTTGTGCTGAAGTTTGCATATTTACAAAGCAATTTTCAGTATATCGGTCTAATCAGATCAGAGTTTCATGCAGGTTATTATAGTTACCCAAAAAACTAAAACCAATAAAAAAAAGAAAGTTACTAATACACATATATATATATATATATATATAGATATAAAATAACATGAATTACAATAAAAACATGTTTTTTTTGTTTCAGCTAGTTGCCAAAGTAGCTTGATTTACCTCTCCATCCAGACTCTGCTTCAGACAAAGACAAACAAAGACTCAATCAGTAATGCCAAAGAGATCATTTGAAAAATTATTGTTAGTGATTAGAGTTTATAAATATTTATTACCTTTTCAAAATCTGTGACTGTCCCGGATTCTGGAAGAAGATAAGTGGTCATGGTGCCCCATAAAAGTCTAGAGTTTAGAACATCACATCTAGGATCCTGGCTTCCTTTTGTGCTGAAGTTTGCATATTTACAAAGCAATTTTCAGTATATCGGTCTAATCAGATCAGAGTTTCATGCAGGTTATTATAGTTACCCAAAAAACTAAAACCAATAAAAAAAAGAAAGTTACTAATACACATATATATATATATATATATATATATAGATATAAAATAACATGAATTACAATAAAAACATGTTTTTTTTGTTTCAGCTAGTTGCCAAAGTAGTTAGTTAACTTGATTTACTAAAAAACTGAAATTAAAATGAATAAAATCTATACAGAGATACTCTATAAAATACAACTACCAAAAAAACAAAATAACTTTAGCGTAAAATGAAAAGGAAAATATAAAAATGAAAACTGATTTAAAACATTAATAAAAAAGTACTCAGGTAAAAAAGAAATACACTGAAGTTGAACTAATATTATTGTACAACTTGTATAAGTTGTACTTATTATATTTTAATTCTACTATACTAAGTGCATATTAAGTGTGTTATTTTGGAGCAACTTTAAGTACTGTATGTTGTGTTCTTTCAGATATACTCAATTTTAAGATAATTGTAATATATATTAATATATTTAGTTGTTAAAATGCATTACAATGCAATTTATTTGCACCAAATAAATAAATAATTGAATGAATGAATAAAGCACAGAAGTGCATATAGTGCATTTTTACAAACCCAAGTTAAGCCTGCAAATATCTGAACCAAACAAAGAAACAGAAAATTTGAAATGTAACCATCTTAAGTGGAGGGTCACTTTTCTTTGAGTACAACTTGTTGCATTTTCTGCATTTGAGGGTTTGCAATTCAGACACCGTGGTATTTCATCACAGGGTCTGTAAAAGGACAAATAATTAATCAGTGGTTTTGAGTGGTGTTTTTGAATATCATATGTATTCTAATTTGCATACATATGCATTAGAATTTATCTGACTGTTCTCAGTTTATTTACATTTTAAAGCTTTGACTATATCCTCATCAAGCTTGACATGAGCGTCCATTTTTATCCTCTTGTCTGTCGTCACAATACAGCTCTCTGTGTTACACTGAACATAAGGTTAGAAGAGGCCAAACAACACCACAGAGTTCAATCCCAAAGTCACTGATATTGTTATTCAAAGCAATAAAGCAACCTACAGGTGCATCTCAATAAATTAGAATTAGTAATTCAACTCAAATTGTGAAACTCGTGTATTAAATAAATTCAATGCACACAGACTGAAGTAGTTTAAGTCTTTGGTTCTTTTTTTTTTTTATTGGTCTTATGAAGTATTCTAAGTTGTTGAGATAGTGAATTGGTGGGTTTTTGTTAAATGTGAGACAAAATCATCACAATTAAAAGAACCAAAGACTTAAACTACTTCAGTCTGTCTGCACTGAATTTATTTAATACACAAGTTTCACAATTTGAGTTGAATTATTGAAATAAATGAACTTTTCCATGACTTTCTAATTTATTGAGATGCACCTGTATGTGTATTACAGGCTACATTATTTTAACCTAGGGTATTTCCCATTAATCTGTCTATGGCTCTATGGTATCCTTCACCTCTGTTGCAGATATTTAAGGAAACGAGGTCATACAAAATGGCATGTGCCATGTAGCAGGACAACTAGGCCAAGGTCCTGCAGCTTTCCCCAAAAACAAAAACAATTAAAAAGAAAACAGATATTTCCATGAATGACTCAAAGGAAGCACAGAAATTAACCACCTGGAATGGACACTTTGCTAATATTTTCTTTCAAGACAACACAGCGGCTGATGCAATCACCCTCCATTAGGTCCGATTTTAAAATCTCTGCAACAGAGGTGCTGAATCCAAAGTTAGCATCACACTCAAGAGCCCCAATAGACACTTTATTAAAAAATATGTCAGCCAGAATGAAACCTTTGAGATTCATTGATATGAGATTAAAATACACTACTCGGTCCGTGTACTTTTGCGTTCATTAATTTTTCATTTTTTAACCTAGAAATGATATGGAAAATGTGGTTTCTTCTTTTATGGTTCTAACACTTATTAATAGAATAATCAGACAAAAACTCATTTGTAAGTATTCTTTTGTAAGTACAAACATTGAAACAACATTGATTTTAGGCTTATTACTAAGGTATAGTTGACAAAATTATATTTCTAATACATTATAAGTTGATACAATGTAAGAATACACTTGCATATTTTATAGCTGTAATGTACAATGTGTGAGTGAATTAATATACTTTACTGTTAAATACTTAAATATTTAAAATATATTGTAGTAGGTCTAAATATGGTAATAAATAAGATACATATACTTTAAACCCAAGCTGAATCATTTTATTATGTTCTTACAGGAAGTAAACATAAAATATAAGAGTAAAATAAGTATGTTTTCTGTAAAAACACTAAAATGTCACAAAGTATGCCTGTGTTTTAGCATATTTCTTAAAAGCTTAACTAAGCATATATTTATAACCAAAGTACTCCTAGTATACTTTAAAAAAATATATTGCAATGCATGTACAATTGTACTATAAATATACTACCTGAATTTAAAGCACATTTTGAATACATTTAAGAGTAATTCTTTTTCACTTGGTTATCAGTGACAAACAAAAAACACTGCTCTCAGTTGGTGAGACGGTCATATTGGGTTTGGACAATATTAGATTAAATATTTATGATTATGAGCACATTCAACCTCAGAAAGGATTCAACCAATGTCTGATAACTGAGATCACAGTCTGCTGTGTCTAGACTCCAGTGTAACTCTCACAACACTTGTGCACATTCACACCCCATCAAAACCATGTGTCCCGAAGCTGCTCTCCCAAACCACACGGCCCTCAGACGGCTGATCGTCCTCTTTCCTGCCCCGAGGTTTCGTATTTGCACTTTTGCAGAGGACGCTGAGTCAACGTTGCGTAAGTGACAATAAGTACTTTTGTCGATTCATTTTAAGGACTGTTATGTAACAATAAGCTCTCCCTCTCTCCCTTTGCATCCCCCATTTCCTTTTAAGTTATAAAAGTTGTTTTCACTGAGCGAGAGACAGAAATTTGCTTGTTTTATCTCTGGCAGCCAAACACAGAAACCCTGTCATTCCCTACAGATCATTCTCACCGGCCACAGATAAACATTTAAGCAGTGCTTTTCACTCAAAAACAAACTTTTAACGCCATGCCAGCAGCTATAGGTTTTTAAAGGACATGTCGAAACTTCATAGGAGGAATGAAAACAAACAGGCGATATGTAGGCCAAGTCAACATTCTTTCTGACTTCCCACACATCAGACAAAATTATATCGCTCAGCATTATAGGGTGTGGATGGCATTGCCAGATTATACAAATCAAAGCCATCACGTGGTGCGTTTGAAACGCGTCCTACAGGCGATTTCGACTCAGTGGATCGGCCCGCTTTTCGCCCACTGTTCTTTCTGCCATGTCACCACAAACCCTGAACCCCAAGCATTTAAATTTGGTGTTCCATGAGTGGTCAGTGTCTGGAAATTGTTCACATCCTGTTTACGTCAAATCAAAGCCATCACGTGGTGCGTTTGAAACGCGTCCTACAGGTGATTTCGACTCAGTGGATCGGCCCGCTTTTCGCCCACTGTTCTTTCTGCTATGTCACCACAAACCCTGAACCCCAAGCATTTAAATTTGGTGTTCCATGAGTGGTCAGTGTCTGGAAATTGTTCACATCCTGTTTACGTCGGAGATTTTCTAACCTCGAACCGCATCTGGCTGGTGAGTCCACTAGTCAAATCTGCATTTTCAGCGAGTGCAGACCACACAGTTATCGTTTGAAGAAGAAAAGGAAACCTTGAGAGTAGGCCACTTGCTGGGCTGTATAATGAATGAATAAACTGTAAGCCACAGCCAATAATCTACTTCGAGAAACTTCTAGAAATGTGACAAAAATGAATAAAAAGGCCCCAAAATATTATTATATAATCAAAATGTATTGCATTTAGCAAATAAACACATATAAACATCACCAAAAACTATTTACATTTGCAAAAATATAAACTGATCTACAGTAAACTTCGTACAAAATCTAAAAAGGATGCACTGCTGGTGTGTATTTTGTGTGTCACTGTTGCGATACTGAAAATGCGAGGAAATATTAGACAAAAAAGCTTATTTATTAGACTATTACCAATGCAGGAGACGGTTCCTGTATTGAAGATGCTTGATGTATGATTATACGCCATTTCTCATCCCACAAGTTTGTAGGTATAGTTCACCCAAAAATAAAATGTCATTCCTTTCTTCTGTAGACAATAAAAGAAGATATTTTGAAAAATGTCTCAGTGTCACATTGGAAGTCAATGGGGTCCAATGTTTGGTTCGCAACATTCTTCAGAACCTTTTCTTTGATGTTTGCCAGAAGAAAGAAATGCATACAAATTTGGAATGATGTGAGGGTGAGTAAATGATGACAAATTTCATTTTTGGGAGGAGTATCCCTTTAAGATGCCTTTCATTGAGATGTTAAGTTTGCTCTCTCTAATGCACCTGCGTCCTGTCCTCTGTCTGAGATCTTTATGTCTTCCCTCTCCACTGCTTCAACGGCACTTGCAGGACCGGACCACCATGTTGGAGAGCTGTTCCACACGAGAGGTTCGGCCTAGGAAATAAACGATGGTGAGGGGCTCCAGGTCCTGAGGAACACAACACGGAGATGCTGATGCCTCTGGATTCATTTTATTATACAGCGGGAGAATCTAAAAGGAAGACAGACAGAGAAACACTGTAAGCAGACATGGAAAGCAACATCTAAACGCAACATTTTAGAGCGAACTCTGTCCAACACTGCACAAGTTTGATTAGAAAATGTAGTTTTGCTATATTTCTCAAATTATACACATGTATCAGCTATAATGCACTTATCAAAATATCTAAATCAAGCATTCAAGTGTCAAAAGTTTCTTTTTTAATGACAAGAGGAGTATTCAAAATGCATCATTTAACATACAATCTGCAAAAGAGTGAAAAAAGGGGATTTAGGATTAGTCCAAAAAATTATGTTTTTAGAATCAATAATAAATCACACATGTGAAAATGGGCTGAGAATTGAACAAATATTTGTTTAGAGGAAGAAAGCAATAATCTCTTTGTTGCAGTTTGTTGACAGCAAAAATGCTACAAAATGCATATCAGATTTTGTGAGAAAGTGTGATGTGCTAGAGCAAAACAGATACTACTTTTGTAATCAGCAGCCCCAAATTAGTAAGAAACAAGCACTGGATTTCATGCAGCAAATATGATGCAGGGTGGTGTGATCTTTGAGCTGGTAGTCCTGAACACTGTCCACTTTTTTTGTGTGAAACATGCTCAGCCTGATCAATATTTACCATGTTGTAGTGGTTGTCTGCGCTCCAGAGGTAAGGACAGTTCCCTGCACAGAAATTTGCTTTGTACCCTTTTGGTTCGTGGATCCACTTCCAGTTCAAGTCCCGACGAAAATCAATGTACAGAGACCTCAGACAGCAGCCCTGATCAGTCCTGGAGGAAGGAAAATGATTTGTTGCAATGCATCATGCTGTGTTAAAAGAGAAGTCTACCTAAAATGAGTTTAAAAATGATTTATTTAAACATTATCTGCTCACACTCATTCCAAACATATGACTTGTCTGGCTTACTTTCTTCTGCGTACCACAGTTTGAATTATATTCTAGTTGTTCTTCTCCATGCAGTTACAATTAATGGGGAAAGAAAAAGCACCATAAAAATATCATAAAAGTAGACAATAACTTTTGCATATTCCAAGTCTTCCAAAGTCAGATGCTTTATAAGAGCAACAGACTGCAATTTAATATTTGCTTTTTTAAGTATAACTATATCGTTTTTCATTTTATTTCCAGTTATTTCCCGATTGCAGTGCTTCCACTTAAACTAAACAAAACTAATCGAAATACATTAAAGTTTTGAATCTAATATTTATATTTTATTTTATTTCAGTTTTATTTCAACTAACAATTAGTTTTAGTTAACAATAACAACTCTGGGCAGGATATTCTTACAAAATAATAATAAATAATTCACCCTTTGTGCTCCATTGAAGAAATCATGTCAGTTTGGAACAACACTGTACATTTTGTGAGTAAATGAATCCTTTTTGGGTGAACTAACCCTTAAAAAACTCTTGTCCAGTTTTGACTCCAGCAACAAATTCTGATTTGGTGTAAATGTGACCCTAATGACCATTTCTATGTTGCTTAGCACAGAGGAAGCACTCCACATAACAAATACACATTAAAAGAACATTTACTCCCAGGACAGACAAGATGCAGACTGCATATCAGACGTGACACTCCCTGGGCGAGTCGCAGCATGTGTTCTGTGGGTGTGTGATGCAATACAATCTAGACCTCTATTTTACATGCACACACATTAGGATCAATCTCATCCAGCTCTGAGTGCCTCGTTATTGGTTCTTTATTGGTTTCTCATGCAATGCTTTTGTTTTCTTGCATTAACTGGGGACTTCTGAGCTTCTAGCCAAAGGTTTGATATATATGACAGACACTATCGGATCAGAACAAAACTTGAACTGACTTGAGCTGAATAATGACACTATTGTCTTTTTAGAGCTGCTTTACAGCAGAATTTGGATTTGTCCCATGTTTGATGAAGTTTGCATCATTGATTCGGTTATTTTCCTGCTTATTACTGTGATGCTGCTTTGAAACAATCTGTATTGTATAAAGTGCTATATAAATAGAGGTGACTTGCCAAAATACTGCAAGTGTAATACCGAAATCCTTCAAAGCCATTTATACTGTTTTTTATACTAGCATTCATTTTGAGTCTCCGCTTAGCTTTTCTAACGCATGTTGCCATGGATCATACAGTTAAGCAATCATTATATTGCTTAAATATCTGAAACAAAAATACCTGATTTCAGTAAAAAAAAAAAAATCAAGCATTCCAGAGAAAGCAATAATAAATAATATTTTGAAACACACACACACACACACTCCAGCACTCTTTCTCTCTGTACCGTGAGCATATGGATGTGACTGCTGCTGATCTCTTCTTGCGGTTTTTCTTGGTGGGACTCTCCAGACGGTCGGTGGGCAGCAGGGTTAGTATCAAATGGGGAGTTTTTGTGCTGAATTCAATCTGTCCTTTAGTCATGCCTGGTCTTCTGTTCTGCTTTATAAGGTCATCATCAATGCCTGTGAAGGAATCAATCAAAAATATCAAAAACAACAAATGATGCAATGCATTTCCTATGACACTGAAGTTGGCCAAAATGTCACTGTTTTCAAAGAATTAAAGTCAACTATGTTTGTAGAGTTCAGTGTTGCACTTTTCTTCTAAAGTTCGAAAGTTTCTTTAAGAAATATTTTGCTTGAAAATGCGCTTGTGCTGTCTTTAAAATAAACACCACATTGTTTGATATTTTATTATCTAATGCAATGATATTCATACTTTTAAAAGTGTAACTTAAGCATCTAGATACTTTTTGGGGGTTCACGGTACAAGTAAAATAATCACACTTTTATTGTAGCACTGTGTAACTCGAAATATAAGACAAATAAGTCAAATAAAAATGCATGGTACTATGGAATTAACATATGGTAAATTTTAATGAGAAAATATAAAGAAAAGCAAAGGCTAGTTGTCAGAATACTTAACCACTTATAATTAAATCACAAATATTTTCACTTTCAGCTAATTTACTACAAATGAATAAAAAAAGGAGTCCAGTATTGATACAAATCTTGTAATTCTGACTTTTTCCTTGAAATCAGGAGTACTTTTCTCAGAGTTTATATTGAGAGTTTATACCTCTCAATTCTGAGAAGAAAATCATAAGGGTGAGATTAAAAAGTCTCTTTCTTGTTTTTTTATTATTCAGTGGCAGAAATGGGCTTCCATAGTGCACTTACAGCTCATGGAAAAAATGAAGAGACCACTTGAAAACTCTCAGTTTCTCTGGATTTATGATTTTTAGTTGCATGTTGTGTGTGCATTTTATATATATATATATATTTTTTTTTTTAAATTACGTCATTATTATTATTTGTATATATATATATATATATTTTTTTTTACTATTCTCTGACATATTAGGATGCTTAGCTGTTGTTTGAGTCGAATGTTTGCAGCCACTCTCAATTGTTAACCAGCAATAATTGTAAGTAGTACAAATTGTTTCTGTACACAATGGATTTGGACACTGAGGAAGGCTGTTAATAGTCTAAACGCATTTGCTAACATCATTTTTAACAATTTAGCCTAAAAGGTTTTTAATTTTCTACCACTTGATTGCCTTCCTTGTTTTTCATAAAAATTTAGACTGATGAGAAAATGACCTGCAAATCTGGCTTCCAACTCTTCACTCTTGTTAGGGACGATATTGTTTGTGGAAGGGATGAATGTACAGCAGGGACAGTGAACGCTGATCTTGAGCCCGAGATTTCGCTCTAAAAGAGAAAAAGATGATTTTTCTTAGAGAAGGAAATACTTCTCATTTTACTTGCTCTTCTGCTTCATTGAGCAGTAAATATATGTTCAAGCCTCCGGATGAACTCACTGACCTCTGAAGGCCATCCACTCCTTCACAGTCTCCGTGACGTCGACAGAAAGCCACGCCCCCTTGGCTTGAGGCTCAACTGTTCTGGAGTCGATGTACCTCTGAGACGGTGCTGTCACGTCGTCAGATTTGAGAATCTGTGGGTGTGAAGGGAAAAAACCACAAGCTTATTTACCCATTCATTCATCTGCTGGTCTATTTCTTGCACTATACACCATGAAAAAATATGTGAGGAATCAAACCCTTTCAGCTGCTGTCACTCACTGCTCATCTTTGGAACGACCCAAGCCTTTTGTCTGGAAAAAACACATGCGATTCTCTCACCTGGTATATTTCCACACGCTGCTCTGTGGTGCGCGCCTGTGGGTTTGGTGCTCTGAAGATGCGAAATTCTGCTTTGACCAAAGTACTGGAATTTCGCTCCACGTTGGTGACGTCGAAGCCCACTATCCTGAAGTACGGGCTCTGAGGAACAGGGTTGATTGAGTCTGTGAAACAAAAGCAGGATTCACTTTGGCCTTATTTACACTTTGTGGTCTGTGCGTGGTTTTCAGAGGGTCAACCTCAAGGAAATAAAACTTGCCTTGGTTCCAAAGCAGCAGATGTAATGACTAACCCCTTTCAGCTTCTCAGAGGCCTCACTGAACTCAAGCTGCCTTATTATTAGCAACAAAATTGTATACTATAGGTACACTATATATAGTAGCTGTTAGATCAAATATATGCCTCAGTGATATGCTCAACACTGTACCTTTATTGTGAATATACATATAAACTGTAAGGGAATGTCTCAAAAGCTTGTCCTGGTCATATTTCACCCAAAAGCAAAATAAAACTAATAATTATTTTACATGAAGCATCCTATTATTTTATTTTATTTTAGGGCAACAACAACTGATTTGTATTGTGACACTATTAAAAAATTAAGCACATTTGACCAGCTACTGACAATGTACTTTTTTTTTACCATTATTTTAAATAGATTTTTAGTTCAGCAATATGTGATTTGTGCAGATTAGAAAAATTGCATCACAGTTTTTTTTTTGTACCATAACACAAAGCAATAAATACCAGAGACAGACCAGTAATCTGTTTAACATTTTATACTGATATTCATACTTTATAACTTACACTTTTCATTTCCAGGGCACATATTTCTCTAAAGAAAAGCATAAGAAAGGTTATCCAAAAGAAAAATAACTAAATGTATTAAAAACAAAGATGAAAATAAGTTTGACCATTTAGATTGCAAAACAATGGCATTGGACTAATAATTACTCATACATTATGTTTTATTGTGGCAAATTGTTTTGTGATCTAATGATAATTTTATTATTATTGTGTTAAAAAGCGAAATAAAAACAGAAAACATTGCATAGCCTAGCGGTTATCGGTTTGAACCACATGTTTGAGTGCGCTCCTCTATAACGCCCGGTCCGCTGGATGTCCTCGGGGCGCACGCACTGAGCGCGTCTCTTGCAATGGGACAAACCCAAAGTGCGTAGGCTGCGCTGGTCGCGCTCAGTGTTCTCCAGGTGAGTGAGCCCGAGCCGCGAGCTTTTACCCCTCATACACTGCCTGACATGTCATTTGTGTACTCTTGTAATCTTTTAGAAGACTGCTGAGCTCAGTGTGGGAATTCCACGCTAACTTAAAGGAGATTTTTTTCCTAAAGGTAATTTTCGAGGTGCAAACGTTTAAGGTACTGCTTATGGCACGTATTTTGGCATCCCTAACAGTTAGCAAAACGAGAACGGTCTTAAATACTTTTTTTTTTTAAAGTGTTTTTGTAATCTTTTTATAAAACAAATATACAATAAAGTGAGAAACAAGTAGCCTACTTAGCTTTATATTTTGTGCTAAACCGAAGCAGAAACTGATCGCGCAGCACGCCGTTGCTATAGTAACCTCCTCGGGCTACGACGTTACAGCTAGGCGTCGGGATACTAAAATGATTGTAAAAATTTTTTTTTGGAAACTTATGTTGAACTTAAACAATACAGTATAAGTAGCCTACTTTCTAAGACCCAAACCCTTCCAAAAGCCCTCGGTAATTCACACCCTGCCTGAGCTAGGCTACTTCAGGTAAAACAAATGTTAAATATTGGCCAGATTTCTGTGCATGTTGTGATAACAAACAAAATACAAGCGTGCACTATTACAAACCATATGGAATCTATAAGCAGAGCCTTTCCGTCATGCTTCCCGGGGTTTTGAGTATTTACCGGTAAGGTCATAAACGGAACAGTTCCTCATGCTCGTCTGGTATCCAATGATTCAGAGAGAAACTCCAAGTGCTGCTTTGAATTCTTGTGGTTTGTCTTGGACCTTTACTGAGGACCGCTAGAACTTTCTTTTAAAGTGACTCTCCAGCTCCTTTCCCATGATAGCTATAAGAGATCAGGTCAGATCTGATTCTCTTTTCTTACAGCCTCAAGTCAAGAAGCAGATCTGCCATCCAAATGTTCAATCAAGCCCTTGAAGTTGCTTTAGGAAAATACAATTATCCCATGACAAAGACTGACTGTCTCCAGCAGCATAAAGTCGAACTGGATTTAATATAAACAAAATGAAAAAATGCTAGTCTAGGCTTGGCCTACCAGAATAGATCTTTTGCGAAGAGTAATCCATTTAAACGGAGAGAGGGGAAAAACTAGACCATCAAGAAACAGGTCAGACGTCAAAGAAAGTCTTTGAAGGTGTGAACTTAACTACTCTGCTATAATTTTAAAAAACTCTTAGGCTTTCAGAGCTATCAAAAACATCTCTTCAACAAAAGCCCCTAAAGTTTCTGAAAGGAAGAAAAAAAACATACAGCAGCTGTGTGTGGGAGAGAGGGAGGAAGAGAGAGATCAGAGGGAGAGAGGGAGGGAG